CACCATGGCCAAAACAGAAAATCTGGAGCACACCGACTGTGAAACCGACTTCTGCCGCTCTATTCGCAACTCGAGCAGCAATGAGCAAATGGCTGCGCATGAAGACATGTCAAGCTCAAGTCAAATGTCACAAGCCGCACACCTGGACCGGACCTACAAGCAACACGCTCACAGCACACAAACGCAACTGCCTGCTCCCCAATCCCACTTCGATGCACGCTCCGCGTGCACCCCGCAGTCGGATGTCATTAGAAGCTTGCGTCTTCGTAGCAGCAGTGGTGCTAGGAAAACCGGAGTATGATTTAAGCAATGCAATAAGACTAACCACAATGATTATGACAGCAAACCGTCGACGACAGTGCGTTCGGAACTGAGCTTTCAGCATCATGTGCGACATGTTCGGGACAAGATGTAAAATGTCAGAACACATGTGCGCGCATGACTGGTCACAACAGCAACAACATGCAAGGCAATGCAAGAGGTCTACCAGCCCTCACCACCACCATGTGGTCTGCACTGCTGAAGGGAACAGAGGCCTAAAGCATTCTCATGTCCAAGGGCCTGCCGCACTGCTTGGATTTCCATGATGAGTGCACACCCAGCTGTCAAATGATCCTGCGACTGACCTATAACGCGTCCACTTGTCTGCATGTCTGCTTCATTGAGCAGCTAGGCTTTCGCAATCATTTGCCGGCTTCACTTGTCAAAGGATAGCCAAGTCGGTGGGTAAGTCTCACGTTTGCACTTTCGCGGCAGCCTTGTAGTGAGAAGCACCACTGCTGGAGCCTTTATGTTGCGCGAGTTGCTTCAACAAACTGCCACTTAGCCCGAATAAATCCATCATGTCATTCTGCGCAGTCTGCTACATTTGTTGTAAAGTGGCGCCGGGCGCTTATTTTCTCTTCGCCCTGTACACATTCTAGCTTGCCAAGGCTGCATTTAACATTGTGGTTTCACACGACTGCCTTCGGAATCCCGGAGAGCATCAGCTATCACGAATACGAATGCAGCATGCAAAAGCAAGTACTACTGCCTGACTGAGTAATGCAGCATGCCGCTGAATCAAACGGATCTTCTGACGAATGAAAGGCTTCGAGTCAACAGTCAATGGAAACGCCCCCCAGCCCCAAGTCCTGGGCTCTAATTACAAAGGATGAAATATGCCAGACAGAGTCCTCAGAAGCGAAAAACCCACTCTGTGATAGTGAGGATACGCTTCGCTTAGTGGAAAACCCAGCTATCTTGCATCGTAGCCATCAAATACAGAATGGCAGCACGTTAAATGTTTTTGCTTGCAACCTTCCACTTGGTTCTCTACAGGAAATCCCGGAAACACCACTCAAGACCCCAATGCCAAAACTCTCACCAACGGCGCAAGCATCCCACCCTCCAGCTCTGCAACTACAGAATACCATCAAGGCTGCAACCTTTCTCTCGAATCTACATGTAAGGGCGGCGGATGTAAACTTGTTTCCGGGATGTTTGCAGTCGGGGTTGTGACTGAGGGATCTGAGCTATTGATCTATCAACCGAATCTTCTGTTCACGGTCGTGCTGCCTCATGGCTTGTGCTTCACAGCGCTTCCAAGAGTGTGTCAAAGCTTAGTCTGGTGAATGATGTTCTGTTCTAATTCTACGAGACCTGCTGCTGTGATCTGTTGTGAAAACTGTCCACTCGAATGCGATCTGATCTACGCAGGAGACAAAGTCCAATGAGTGGCGAGTTTTGATGTGAAGACTTGCCGATCACCACCGATGACAAACCAAGCACGCACTGGATGCGCCATGTACTGTCACTGCACGCCTTCATAACCGCATGACCGTTTATCTATACGGCGAATATGAAGGAATCAGAGCTAGCTGAAGAGGCTCCTAAATTAGCATTGCACATAATCCTCTTTGTGCCAGCTCGTACTAGATCGCGATTACGGCCCTGCCCATGTAAACATGCTGTCCGTCCCGCTACCATAACTCTAAAACTGAAACCGAAAGCTTGTTGGGTTCGGATATGTTCTAAACACGATAACACACACATGCACACACACACACTCACACACACACACACACATATATATATATATATCTCTACACCCAAATGTCTGAGTATCTGTGCCTCTGAGTCTCTATGTCTCTAATTATATCTCTTATCTCTATATCTCTATCTCTGTCTACGTCATCTATGTCTACATCTATCTATCTATATATATATATATCTATATATATATCTATATATATATATGTGCATCTAGTTGTGTATAGCAACTACAAATGAGTTATACACACAGACGCGCAAGTCCAAGTCGAAACCCCGACGATGCTTCGTCACCCTGCAATAGCTCGGGGAAACCGAGCCACCGAATCCAGCTTTGGTTCATTCATGTGTTCAGGGGTTCAGGGTTTGATGCATCCTCAACGCATACCTTTTTTGGTAGTCTAAGTTCCTGTTGAACCATCGTTTAAGCTTGCACACTCTTGACAGCACCTGTGCTATGTACAAAACTTTACCGGCGTGGGTGAAACTAAGCTGCTATGTCGGCTTCGAATCTGCAGAGTGACCATCTCGTTGCCGGGGAATGAGAAGATGAGGGCAAATCCATCGGAGACCTGCAGCCAATATCGGGGCCTTAATGCACAGCAATTTAGTTTGGGGTATACCTCTAGTAACTCTAGTATAGCATAGTCTTATTGTGTAATGGACTTTTGAGCAGGAGCCCCAAGGATTGGGCCCAGTCGGGCACGGGAGCTCCAGCTCAAGCGATCTGTCGAGGGCAACTGAAAAGGCTTGTAGCGGCTATGCTGAGAACTCTCAACTCCTTCATGCATCCCGGAACGCCCAAGTTAGGTGCCCTCGTGACAAAACTCGGAAGCTCGGGTTGTGTGGGAAGTCCTATCCCCCACTGGCCCCACCTGGAAGACAAAGTGCGGCGTCAAGGTCTCAGCTAGCCGCCTAATAAAAGGATCCAATGATGCTGTCTCCAGTACCAAATTGTTAAGCATGAAGCTGTTGATGCAATCTTGATGACTTCGAACGAAGTCTCGCTGATATTGCAGCAGCTCCGGAAGGCCATGCAAGATAGAGCTGTAAATGCCATCCTCGACAAAGTGCAACTGCACGGGCGTCCGCTCCCCGGCACCGTCGTCGGGCAACGTGACCCATTGGGCGGCGATGCAGTCCTAGGAGCATTGAAGTATTTTCGGTTGCGGCTTCTGAGAACCGCGGCGTAGATAGATGCTTACTTGGAACTTTATTGCTAGGAACCAGTAATAAAACAGATGGCCGTTCTATCCTGCCTTTCGTACAAGATTCCGGCTGTGGAGGCCAAGGATATGGCTCACCTGGCCGGCTTTGAATGGACGAAGTGCCAACTCACTTGTGTATCTTGCTCGTTTCTCGGAATGCAGACATGATTTGCTCTTCAAGTCATTCATTGAGTCATTCACCTAAGGAAAACTTTCACCAGCTTATGCATCTGCTTCCTGACGTTCTTACCGTCTCCAGGATCAATGTCCGGCCCACTTGTGTGAACTGCCGTGCATGTGCTCTCATGCTCCAAAGTTTCAGGGACAGCTTCTCCCACCTTTCGTTAATAGGGGATCTCATGTTTCCATGAAGGCAGAGCCCCCGGGCTCCCGGAAGAGGGGGGGCGGTGGTAGGGATGTCGTGTGAACATGTCTTGGCTTGTATCGCCACTGAGTGCCGACAGGAGGAAATTAATAAATAAATTCGTCTGCTTCGGCAGGTGATTCCTGACTATCTTGCATCCATCAGAAAGCTTGCTACTTGCCCGAGGGATGTAAGAGCTGCCAGCTTCGGGCTTTACGGCTCCACGCTGTCTAAATATGGCTCGGGCTAAATTCCGTATACCGCAAAGGGATGCCGCCCAGTCGATGTTGCATTTCTCCCGGTGCTTCCGGTGCTTGGTGATCACTGCAAAGCAAAACAGAGAACCATCGAAGCCGGCTGCCTCTTGGAACGGCAGCAAGGACTTTGATGGCAAAGTCTCGTGCTGCAGAGGCGTTGGCCACGGCAAAAGTGCTCCTGCCAGTCATCTGCTGTAATCTAACTACGCATTTCTCTGGATGCACACTCATCGGCAATACAAAGAAAGCGCGCAAAACTTCCGTCTCGCGAATTGCAGCCCCGAGTCTTCCACCAAGTTTCTCTCCTCGAGTGAGTGCAACATTGCTGTTAACGACATTCATTGGAAAGCTGCGCAAGCGGCGTGCAGCGCAAGTGGCTTGCAGTTCTACGTAGTGCTGCCATAAGTTTGGGGATTGGATTCAAGGTCAACCTACTCGACAGAAGCTGCGAGAATCTGCGAGGCTGGGCATCTCGAGCTGCCAGATGTAGCCCGAAACCGTCAACCCTGAAGCCTGAACCCTAGCCCCACTCGTGACACATTATGCTTCTCGCGGCTCGACCTCCTTTCCGATGCCCTCTCTAGCCCAAGCGACGCAGCTGATCTTAAAAGGCCAAGCCTCATCTCCGGGCCCTCGAAGCCTCTGCAATGGTCCGGATCTTCGGTTCTCCTGGACTCCAAAAACTCCTTGGCTCGGAGCTTCCAGGCTTCTTTTCTTTGCTCTCGGGGCCGAGGGTGTCTCTGGACTTCGCTGGCATGAAGCCTGCAGATATGAGATTTCATATGTGTGCACTGTAGCACGGCTTCTTAGATCCCAAACGATGAAAGGATTTTAACACCTAGGAGTCCAAGCCCTGCATACCCAAGAACCCACCAGGAGCACCCTTGAGGTCCCGAGCTGCGGCGGGAGCACGATTGGCACCGAACTCTGCGGTTTGAGCTGGAAACTCAAGTCATGCATGCACTGTCGTGGCCAGACGATGTGCAGCCGAAAAGACGCTAGGCACTATGGCGAGAGCACGGATGCCAAAACTCCAGGTACAAACGGCGGCATTTCCAGGTCACATCCACAACTCCCCACAAGCCGAAGTGCGCATCCCTACAAGCGATGTTGAAGGCCAAGGACAGAATCATGCCCACGCAAAAAAACATGCAAACCTGAAACGATGTATGTTGCTGTCCTATGGCTGCAAGGTGCGGCCTGACGCGATATGCTACCGTGGTGTATGATACTGTGTCTTTACAACAGCGGAACGAGACATGGCGGAGAGAAACAATTAGAAAGAGAAAGAGACATGAGAGAGAGAGAGAGAGAGAGAGAGAGAGAGAGAGAGAGAGAGAGAGCGAGAGAGAGACAGAGAGACAGCGCGTGCAAAGAGAGGGAAAGAAGGCTCGCTACGCAAGGAATGGACCTCCGACCGCGAACCCAGCAGAGCAGTAGGCAGACTAGGCGCCTGATCCAGAAGCCTCGGAGACAAGAGGTCTGCATGCCATTCAACTGTCCAGGTAGTATTCGGGATGTACGCCCGGATAACCTTGCAGTTCCAGCTCTCATTCGCCAGCTTCGGAACGTAGTACTGGAAGGAATAGTTGTCCTCCTGAGACAGTTCGGCTCGGATTGACGGCCCTGGCGCAAGCCTGAAGTCTTCGAGCTTCGGGACCGCTCACACAAGCAACTTCCTTTGTGCTCGGACACACTGCACTCTAGATGCAACTTCAAGGTGCAAATCAAGGTGCAAATCAATGCAATCCCCCACTGAAACTATGCGGTGTCCTGAAGATGATCAGCTCTCATCGTGTCGACCTTCAGTCCGACGTGGAAGTCCGTCCACGGGCTGTAGAGCTGCTGCCACTGCATTACCTTTCGAGGGGATCAGAGCCTGAAGTTAGAATAACCAACAGCTTTAGGGAACTTTCGCTCTCGGACTGCGAATCCCACCGAGACCCCAAACGCAGGCCAGGGGGCTGAATCCCATGACAGCTCTGCTGCTTTCACAAAGTCCTCCATGGCCAGGCCTTCAGTGCTCCTGACTCCGGCCACCGGGCAAGGACGATACTATAACGATACGAGGATTCCCAAGCAAGTAGATGTAAACATCCCATCTCGACTCATAGAGTGGCCACTACCAGTCACTACACATCCCTCAACAGACACTCAACACATGCCAGGGAGTACGTAATCTTTTCACTCGCTAGAGCTGAGTGTTGCGCATGCAGATGTGAGGAGGACAAAACGCCGGTGCACACCGCAGCAGTAGTTTGGAGTCCCGCTTGCTGAGGGCTCTCTACTCAGTCCGAAACGACATATGTCCTTATGTACATAAGCCCAATTCTCCTAACATCACCAGCATTTGGCTTACCTGAGATTGCGAAAGCAAACCCATCCAACATGCAAAGGCCATGCATGGGCGGAAAGATGTTCCTACTTTGCGAATCGGAGTCCGGAACGTCTTCAGGGCTTCGTGGAGCTTTGAGGAGCCCTTGCCCGGCCTCGAATTTGGCGCCTTGAAGAAGTGAAGCTGCTTTATCGGGCCCTCCTTAATCACATGGCTCCCGTGCAAGAACATCGGAAAGCCTGCGTCCCTTGTCTTCCGCTTGAAGGGTTTTGTGGCACAGAGAGCGGGAAGGCCTGAAGCTAGGCAGGGGCACTCTGAAGTGCAGAAACGACTCAGAGATAAGCTTCCGAGAGTAATCATAAGCAGGGACACCTCCCGGATAGAGTGTTTTGGGGTTCTGCTCCTGGGCATTCTCATTCGGTCAAGCGTCAGAATCCCGGAGCTGAACTGCAGAAGCCTCCTCCGATTCTGCAAGGCCGACGAGGTTCAGGCGGCTCTGGAACGCTGCAGGCAGAAGTTGCGAAGTGCTGTATCTCCTCAGCTCTTTAAGGAAGCCGGAGGATGGAATGGGATGGAATGTAGGCTGCTTCTTTTCAATGCATGGAATTTCCCAAACAAAGACCAGTCGCAGCCACCAGGCCGCTGAACGAGCTGGGTCAGTTGAATAGAAGCTGTGGCCCACGGGTTTCAGAGCGGGAGAAGAAGCAGCAATTCTGACTTGCGTCTGGAGAAGCACCACCTGAAGTCGCAGCACTGCATCGTTTGCTTCATCTCGAACAGACAGAAACTCACAGGTAAGAGCCTGCTTTTTGGAAACGAGCCAGCCTTTACTTCGTCCTCTTCGCACGCATCGCCACGTGCGCAAAGGGTGAGAGAGCCGAACACCAGTGCGAGCCAGCAGGCCGGCATGGACCACCATCAGTTTAGCTGGTAGGTGCTGCTGATTCTGTGCATCAAAAGAGCAGTCTTCGGACGGTTCAGGTCGGGCAGGGGAAGCTCGAAGTAAGCCTCACATTCTTGTGATAATGTAGACATCTTGCGCTTCAAGTCTTTGCACCATCTGAACACATCAGCTCCTTTACAGCTTACTGTGTTGCGTACTCCTTTCCCCAGGATACTATGCCTCGTGACACGGCCATCAAGCCGAAACTTCCAAGAGAACCGACCCTGAATCTGAAACTACCGCTGCTGCCTGGATTCGTCAGAAAGTAGAACGAACCGTTTGGGATGACTATCTCTACTCTCGTCGTATCATCTCTGCTGACGTTTGCTCTGCTCCACAAGCTGTGCCTTCGAGTGGCTTTTCCTCTGCTTCTGAGCTCATGCTTGGGCATCAACAGCGAGCTTCGGCTTCTCCTTCAGTTCTACTCTGCATATATCGGAACCCCAACGAGCCCAATCCCAAGCGGGTTTGCCACATCTTGCTTGTGAACAGTGCAGCGTGTCCGACATAGCTCTCTTCACACAGCCTTGCGTTGAGACCTTGCAAGGTCGGCTTTGGTCCTCCTTCTGGACTTCAAAAGCTGTCAAAAGGCCTGTACACCAGGATTCAATCCTCTCCCACAATCCAGAATCCTCAACCGCTGCTCAAGGCGCACTCATGATCACTGCAGGAATTTTCAGGTGTAGACTTCATGGCAACGGTCAGGAAGGCAGCATCAGAGCCGCAGATGCATCAAGAGCAAAAGCAACACATTCTGCTGCGTAGAGCAAATGCAACACATTCTGCTACGTAGTCGTCGTAACGACTTGGTACGTAGTCGTCGTAACGACTTGGTGCCACAAGCAATCAGTCTGCCGCACTAAATCGCCTGGCTGGGTGTGAAGTACTTACCTAGCCTACTTAGCTCGGACTAGGAGGACGAAGACAAATCACAGAAACCTGTAACCTGTGTAGCCGATCCTAGCAGCAATGAGAGTAGCAAACCGAATAACTGCGCTCTCCCGATGGTTCAAAGTATCCGAACGGTTGCAGTCTGATCAGTCTGTCGACTCAAAGCATTCGAAGTCTACGGCTTCTGCTACAAGACTACAAGTAACTTGCTTGACTATCCGATGTAGCGGGGAGACATGGGATACGTTCACACCCTTCGGCGAAGCACGGCCACGACACCTGCGCTATACTAAGTGCAAAACCTCACGGGTTTTGGTGAAACAACGCTGACATGTTGACTGCGTATCTGAAGGGTCACCATCTCATTGCCCGGAAAAGAGAAGATGAGGGCAAAGACATCAGAGACCTGCAAAGCCATGTTATAGTTCCTACGAACATTCCGCGGCTAGCCCCTTTGCAACTTTGTTTCGGTACCCTGATATCGAGGGGAGCTCCTGCCTTGAAGACAAAGTGCGGCGTAGAGGTCTCAGCTAGGCGTCGGATGAAGGGATCCAGTGATCGTGTCTCCAAGACCAGGCTGTTGAGCATGAAGCTGTTGATACAGTCTGGATGGCTTTGAACAAACTCTCGCTGATGTCGAAGGAGCTCGGGAAGGTCGTGCAAGGTGCAGCTGTAGACAGGGTTCTCAACAAAGTGCATCTGCAATGCCTTCCACTCCTCGCCATCGTAAGGCAGCGTGACCCATTGTGCGGCTAGGCAGTCCTCACTTCGGCCATGCTGTAGTGGAAACCGGTGAGATAGAAGAATCGAGCCAAAAATGTAGTACAACAAAGACTAAACAACTTACATGTCTCTCGTCGACCAAGGCGGCAACAGCGGCTGATTCGTGCCCTGCACTCACCATTGGGCCGCAAGCCCGTGTCCGTAACTACATGCTGCTGAATGCGACATGCAGCAAACTTAATTGGGTGTCACAGTCCGTGTGACATCACGTGGCCTTATTTCTCGGGAGAAATATTCAGAACAAGTTTCCGGACGCGGTGGCCACGGAAATGGCTGGCCTGACGTGCAGGAGGGTTCATTCAACGGTATTCGTTGTCTGCAGGACTCGAGGTCGTCATGTGCAAGGCAAACGAACAGACAAATCCCGCGCGCGGCAGCCATACTTTATAATGCTCATTATCCGGCTCTTATGTGTCGCCTGCAGGCACGGCGCCGAGGACCTTGATGGCAAAGTCTTGGGCCAGGGAGGCGTTGGCCACACCAAACGTGCTCCTCTCACTGTCAAGGACCCTGATGGACTGTTGACCCTCACAACAGGTTTTGTTAATAAACCTGTGAGCCCATGCGGATTGATTCCCATGATAACGAGGAAAGCCTTTCGACGTTTTGCGGTCAGGTGTCTTCCACCATGTGTCTCTCCTTGGCTGTCGTGCTGCGGTCGGAATCGAGACGTCACGTTGCCCGTCCCCGCGCCTTATGAGCTCTGAGCCTTACAAAAGCCGTCAAAAGCCTGTCTTCAACTCCGAAGAGTCTTACCCGGCCGCCAGGCCGCTTATCTCTGTCGTCCTGGCCCCGGCAGTGGTCCGGATCTTGGGTTTGCCAGGCCTCATTGAGCTCCTGCGCTGCTTTGACTTTAGGGTTTAGGGTTGAGGGATCTGAGGCTGATTGAGAGAATTATAACTGTCGTTATCCGTATCACCATCTCTGTCACCTGTCACTATCACTATCATTGTCATTGCCGTTGTCATTGCCACTACCATTGTCACCACCCTGCCACAACCACTACCAGATTCACTATCATTTCCATCGCAATTACCACTATACTTTTAAAGTTGTCATTCGCATTATCTATATCACTACCAAATCACTGTCACCTTCACCACTCTGCCATTGTGAGAATCAGTGTCCCTATCACTGTCAATAACATTCGCAGTATCAATACACCAGTACCAGCACCAGCCACCATTATACCGTATTATACCATAACACTATCACGATAAAGGTCGCTATCACCGTCAGTAGCACCGCCACTGTCGTCACATTAACACAATCACTATGACTGCGACTACAAGTACCAGTAACCGCAACAATATCGTTACTGTAACAAAGACCATGACATTACCAGCATTAGCATTACCAGTATGCCAACCGTTGTCATTAACATACCAACTCGATCATTGTCACCAGCAACTATCACGATCAGCTTCAGCATTACTATCAATATCACTAGAACGGTTGTTTCATGAACATTTACATTATGGCTACCAGTATCAGTATCAGTCAGCGTACCATTACCATGACCTTGTCATTGCCAATACCACCAGCATCAGTGCCACTGCTATGACCATCACCGCTGCAAAGTCATGATGATAATCGTGTTCGCGATCGTCGAAAAATCGCCCTCATCAGCATTAGCTGCCACTAGCAGTATCAGTGTCATTGTCCACGTCAACGCCATGCTCATCATCATCGCCATTGCCTTTTTCATCGCAATTGTCCTTTGCATTCCTTATGTTTCCTGTGCCTGTGGTTGTTATTCCTGCTTCATTGGCATTTGCCATGAAGAGGGTTACGAGCAATCAATGGTGTTTTGGGTCTTGATGTTTCGGGATCAGGCCTGGTGACTCGAAACTGCACTTACGTCTTTGCTCCGCGACTTGCACAGCACATCATGAAGAATTTGGCTGTTTGGTCGTCGGTGATAGCTCTTCTGGGCTTAGTGAATGTGCTGCGAGTTGGCTGCACCAGGGTGACTTCCCCTTTCTCAAGACCGATCAACTGAAGAACGAACGACGACAAAATGTCGAGAGGTATGTGCTTCAGCAGCCGGAAGTCTGAAACTGAATAAGTGAGGGCTCCTCTTTCTCCGAATCGTAGAATTGCGCCAGCCACTCCACCGTCCAGGTGGTGTTCGGGACGTAGGCCCGTATGATTCTCCATCCTGGCTCCACGGTTACTTTACAATGCGCAAAAAGCGAGTGGGCCTGAAGCACGTGGTACAGCATGTGGCACAGCAGTTGCACTGCAGGTGTTAGCCTGTTAGCCAAGTGGCCCCGGCTGAGATCTGGATCAGGTATGTAGTACTGGTAGGGGACATCGTCCTCCTGGCCGCGGCGCTGACTCTCCACTGCCAACATGCCTGTCTTCGCAAGTCCTTCTTGAATGCTTCGCAAAGGCGCGATCTTGCGATCCACAGCAAAATCATTCAAAATCATTCAGCAAATCACGGATTCACCGAGCATCATCCACATTCAGTGTGACTGCTTCTGTAGCTTCTGGTTGGGCGAGAAGTTCTGCTGCAGTTTAAACGCCCGACTGCCGTACACATCTCCAAGCATCCGCAAACGAGAGTCTCGTGTTTACTGAACCCTGAACTGCGCGCCCGCCGTCCTGAAATTGACGAGGTTTCATCGTCCTCATCTTATGCCCGACGTGGAAGTCCGTCCAAGGGCTATAAAGCTGGCGTCGAGTCATCACCTTGAATGCTCTGCCGTCTTCAAAGTCACCACGGATCTTCGGATTAAACGGTTACTGCATCGGTGAAGACCTTCGGGCTTCAGGGCTTCGGCGTCGGGCGTCAGGATAGTTTGGCACTTCAGGTTCATTTCTTGGAAGACAATCCGCGTCTGCTTTGGCAGCACAGATTATTGTAGTTTCAGCGCTCGGGGTCATCATGCGAGAGTACTTCCCTGGGCCTCCGAAGGTCATGAAATCGAAACGAAGGACATCTGAATCCGAACGTAGCTTCGCTCTGTCCCACAAGGGTCCTCCAAGCCCTTGAAGCTGAATCGATGTTCATAAATGCAGTTGTGCAGGTAAACTTGAAGAAACTCAACACTTCGAACCTGCTTCGCTACAAAGATACCCTGGCCGTTTATGATCTACTACGTCAATTTGTTTTCAGCCATGCTGAAACGCTTTGCCTTGTTACTACGGCCCCCCCCCCTCCCAACAAAAGCAACCGTTACCGCATGCTATACAGTTGTGTCCTGTCATCGTTTTGTCCGTTGCGCTGTCGGGTTGATGTGTATGCTCCGATTTAACATCTTCGATTGAATCTCCTCACGTTGGGCTATCAGCTACTGGCAGAGGACCTCCATGTTGGAAGCTGGAGACCTTGCATTGTTTTGCTGCTGCACGACACTCCGAGCTTTAGGTGCGGTGCAGCTCTGAGTCGACCGACAGATTCAGCGTCTCCTCACAAGTTCTGCTCGTAGAGGGTTCTCCAACCTCTTTGGTTTCGCGGGGTTACGGCGGTTCTGCTGTAGTGCAGCCCAAAACACGGTCGACCATGACATCTCGGCTGCTTTCACGAAGTCCGCCATGGTCAAATTCTCAGGGCTCCTTCAATGAACGGAAACATCCTCACAATAGTTATAGTTCGCAGATTGAGAGGACACCGTGTTCTTGGCAGTACCCACGATGGCACTCATGAGTAGCTCTAACCTCGTTATGTAAACCGTGATGGTACTGGCAGGTCCACCGGTATCTAGTCATTGCTTTGCTGTTGCAACCTTGCTAATCAAGCAGGGAACTGGTTATGCTTGCCAGTCCGCATCTCTGCTCCTACAACGCGCTGTGAAGCTTCGCGATACCTGCCTAAGCAAGAATCTTTCGAGAGTTGAGGATCAAAACTGTGCAAATCAGAGAAATCCGGCCTCCAACTTGGCACCTTGAGGAAGTAGAGTTGCCCAGCTGGGCCCTCCTGGGAAGGCAGAACACAAGCCGAGACTTCGAAGTGTCGTGGGATGCTTTGGTTGTGTGATTGTCGGGTCCTGCTTTGGAGTCGTCGATCCTCTTGCAAACAAGCGTCTGAATCCCGGACCTGAACCGCAGAAGCCTCCTCTGCTTCTGCCACGCCGACTAGGTTCAGAAGGCTCTGGGACGCTGCAGGCAGTGGCTGAGAAGTGCTATATCTCCTTGGATCATGGCGCTGTTTTCCAGTAGATTGGATTGGGCTTGATGATGCTGTCCCTCTGGCTGAGCGTAAGCACATTCATAGATGCATGCATACAAACCCAACGAAGTATTCAACCATTCTATTTTATGCATCTCTTATCCATGCTGTCATCCATCTCCATCTCTGGCTCCCAGCTTCCCTCCTTCCGTTCGTCCGGCCGTTCATGCATCCAGCAATACATCCTCTCTTGAACTCACTCACACACTGACTCAACCAATCAATCAAGCAAAACAGAAAAGAATAGAACATACTAGAATAGGCTCAACTAACATAAAGTAATACGATAAATGTTTAGTATACTAGTAAAATATATTATAATACCGTAAGACCATGTGAATATGATGATCCAGCTGCTGTAGTGTAAGATAATGACTCACAAATAACAAGTCATAATGTCCTATAGTATAACACAGTAAGTACACTAAGTAAGATAATGCAATACACTAGCAGGCAATGCAATGGGTATGCCTTGTCAGCACTAGTAATCACTAGTACTCGTCACGCATCCATGCCTCCAAAGAGGCACATTCCGGAAGCACGCAAACACACAGAAAGATAATGACACAGAAGCAAAGACAGTGACACGCAGACAGAGGGATGGACATGGACAAAAGCAGGCAAATAAACTGCTCGACACGCGCACACACACACACTCGCATTCACATGCCCGCACCCAAACCACCTGAAGGCCCAGTCTCAGCCACCAGGCGGCCGAACGTGCTGGGTCAGTTGAATAGAAGCTGTGGCCCAGAGGTTTCAGTGCGGGAGTAGAAGAAGCAATTCTGACTTGGGTCTGGAGAAACACCACCTGAAGCTGCGGCGCCATTGAAGGGGTCGTTTGCTTCTTGACATCTCGAACACACAACGGGTGACGGGTGTTATGAAGCTGAAGAACCCAAAGACAAGAGCCTGCGTTTGGAATTGAACCCGCCTTCAAGTCATCCTCTTCGCATACGTCGCAATGTGTCCACAGCGGGAGATAGCCGAACACCAGTACAAGCAGGAAGGCCGGCATGTGCTTTGTGCAAAGTCTTAGCAGGCTTAGTAGGCTTAGCAGCAGGTAGGTGCTCTGAGAAGATTGATTACTGCGTCACGCTGCTCTACAAGGCATAGAAGCTTGGAGGGCTGTAAGGTGCACGTTCGAGGTCGTTCTCGCAACCAGAGTTGTGGGTCTCACTACAACACAGCGTCATGTCGTCAAAAGAGCTGTGAGGAGACGGCAAAACGAGGCCGGGAGCTTGTGCGCAAGCAGGCAAGCAAGATTTGTAGCTCAAGGGCTTGTTGCATCAGCGCACAAAGAGGCTGCAGGCAAACGCAGTTTCAAGTTCCTAGCCTACAATGCCAGATGTAGATTTCAGAGCCAGGGCTTACGGTGCTAGGTCGACGGAAACTGGACTAGAGCAGCTGACCCTGGATGATCACGTGTGCTCAAGTATCCATCTCGACGCGAAGATCTTTACTTCAAAGTCTTGGAAGGTGCCGGAGCGACGATCAGTACATTGCTCACTGAAGCTTCAAACCCTCGCGCCCCAGGGCCCGAGGCAGTCCTTCAAAGCAGAGGAAGCCCACAGGTAGGCTCTGGGCCCTTTCTTGGCCGCTTGAGAACTTCAGGAAACGACGTCTGAACCTTTCTACTTGTTCTAATTTTCGGTCGCCGGGACAGCAACCAGCTTTGTCGTGAACTTCGTGGAATGCGCCATCGTGTCCAAGCGTGTGGTGACCTGTTGGTCATACGCTTCTGCCTTGAGACAAGACATTCCGTGTAGTGATTCAACAGGCTCTCCTGGAAGTCCATGCACTAGGACTTGGATATGGAGTACACTGCTACTACCCTGCTACTCCTCTGACTTCGCAGAAAAAAAAGGCATATCTACAAGAGTGAAGGCACTTTAAGCCGCTTTCTACAGGAAGCCTCGCCTCTTGGGGCTCAGAGCAAAGTCTAAGTCTATGTACACAAGGGTTCACGAGGCTCACAGCATCTTACCGTGAAGGCCATGCAGGAACTCTCAAAAACGAAACTGGGACTCAATAGCTTTAGATTCCAAACTGGATGAACAGCGAGGCCAGTCGCAGAAGCCGGAGAGTTGGATCTTCCACTCTCGCGCCCAAACAGAGATTCATCGCCGCGCGCTCCAAGGAGGGCGTGCGGGTGCCTTCTGCTGAGCCTGATGCCATTCCTGTCGGAGATGTACCAGATCCACACCCTGGCCCTCGCGCGGCGCCGTATGCGGCCGCCGAAGGGCCCCCTCCAAAGTCGAGGCGTGGCCCTTCTGGTAGGCACCTGCGAAGTCCATAGAAAGGAGGCGTCAGTGCACAAGTCACACTCTTGGCTCGGCGCTGAGGCTTGCTGATGTCGTGTCGGTGCGTTGCCGGGAGCGATGGCAACCATCTGAGCATCGGCATGAAGTCATGAAGCGTAAGAACAGATGAATCACATGCGAAGTCCAGCCAGCCCGCCAGGGACAAAGCAGTTATGTGACTATTATGTTGAGATGTCGGGCCCGCGCTTCGTGGCCAAATGGCTCGTAGCACGTCTGTTCCGAGTAAAAACGTTCTCGCAGAACTGCATGGCTTGCTACGTGCCTGTGCCGATGAGTGTAGCTGGAATGGCGACTGCAACACTGTAACACAGGGCGCAAACCGCAAACCGATCCATGACAATGCTGTGGTGCTTGTGCAGCATGTATGTAGAGTCTGCAGCGTATCCGCTACGAGACGCCTAAGGCCAGGCAGCTATGGCCTCAGGAGGTATAGCCATCATCTGGGTCGTGACATGTTGTGTCCGATGATTGGGGCCGACCAGTCCGAAAGCAAACATCAACCTTAGGTACCTATTTCTCAACAAGGGGAAATCAGCGGCTTCGCGCACGGATGCTGAGGAATAGACTCGCACTTCGCGGTCGGAACGGCTTGCAAGCCTAGTCCGGCGTTGCAACGTCTTGGGAAGGAGAACGAAGCTCTTCTCATGGTTCCAGCCGGTGACTGAAGCACAAAGTTCAGAAAACGGCGCTGGAGTGGAACTCCGAGATGCTCTCTTGCACAAAATTTAATTACAATATGTAGCTAGTGTGAGTCCCTCCAACACATCCCAACACCTCCCACAGATCAAAGGCACAGAGAGAGACAGAGAGAGAGAGGCAAACAGACTAACGGGGGAGAGACAGCGAAAGAGCGACGGAAAAGACAAACTCAGAGGTGGAGAAGTGAGAAGAGTGGCGAGATAAGAAATGAGAAGAATAACATAGGAGAAAGCGCAAAAAAGAGAGAACCAAACTATTTCCTGGCACTGCTCGGAAAGTAGCCCAGCCACAAGGCTCGGAAGGTCTTCGAACGCTGAATCTAAGGGTTGGCAGGCCCTGGTTCCAAATCCTGCGAGCACAGAACTCCCTCTTTCAAGCTTGAACAGCTTGCGGCAGCTCTGGGGCTAGCACTCCGGCATTTAGCTCAATCCTGAGGCAAGTTGACTGGCTTCCGAGTCGTTCAAACTGCTTCTTCATTGACTTGCCGCCGCCCACACTGAGAGTGAAGATGAACACAACAAACGATACGTTTTTGTTGCGATTGTGGTTCTTGCATGTTGTTTGTCACTTGGTCGCAGCTGCTGGCATTGCCGAGGTTGTTGCTCTTGTACTGGTGTTCTGGCTCACTGCACATAATGGCCAGGTGACACGGGTATCGCCACTACCAGGCAAGTTGCTGCAACTGCGCTTGTAAGTACAAACCCTTGTTCTGTGGCACTCAAAACACTGCCACAAGTACGGTGTTCCCGCTTCAGAACGAGTTGCGAAATCTGCTGTATCTAGCCCTGTACACAGGATAACTGCTGCAATCATTCCACTTGCACTGCTGCATGCCCACTTGCACTATGGCAAGGCGAGTTGCTGGCGCTGTAGCTGACAAGTACTACATAGCATTGGCAATAGATGAAAAGGTAGGACTACTGGTACTCTAAGTGGAAGTCGTCGTCCTCATCGTAGTCGTCGTAGTATCGAAATACTTGGAGTCGCCGCAGTGGTTGCAGTAGTCGAAATAGTCGTCGTAGTGTTGTAGTAGTCGCAGTAGTCTTCGGAGTTGTAGTGCCGGAAGTAGTCGGCGTAGTCTCAACCATACTTGAAGTCGTCGACATCGTCGACGTCGTCGTTGTCATCGTCGTCATTGTCGTCGTCGTCTTCGGTAGTGGTGGTAGTAGTAGCAGTA